AAGTCCCACTAAACTTTCTGACAGTTCCCATGAGTTAAAAACTTAAGGATCTGATCTTATTTATGTACTGGACAGATGGTCGTGCACCTAAATGGATACTTTAGTTTATTTCAGAAAAGTAACATTTAAGCAAATATCTCAATGCAAACATTTGAAAGTTGTTTGGGCTATTGCAGGAGTTCCTGCTGAAAATAAAAACAAAGCCATAAATTTCTACTTATAATATGCTCACACTATCAGCAACTTTAAGGAATGTGGAATTCTAAGTAAAACCTAACGTAAAGATATTTGCATTGCAATGAAAATCCCAGGGAAGCTGCATTAATAAATTGGAACAATGAACTGCAAAAACTTTTGATCTTCCATTGCAACATATCTTACCAAAAAGAAACAAGCTTCTTGACAATATCACTTTCCCTGCTTGAAACATTCATTTTGGAGAAAAGTATTCTAACCTTCAGATCCCTAGCAGCAATTTCACTGCAGCTCTATTAAGTTTTATTTGAAGGCTTTGGAAGCAATTGTGATATTTTCTCAGCCTCACAACCTGAGGAACAGAACAGGGAGGCAGGGGGGGAAGGCCAGCTGGTCAGTAATTCTTTACTGATACCACATGAAATATTTGGGATTTGTTTTGGCTGGGATACTGATGCAAAATTTAGCGAAGCATCCAATGTGGGAGATTCTGTGAGAATGCTGAGCAACAGGAAAACTCTCAGAACAGTATCTTGCTTTTACCAGGAAAACACAAAGCCATAGAAATAAGAATCCTTTAAAAGTATGTCTAAGAATTTGGACACACAATAGAAATTGCAAACTGAGAAAAAGAAAGGTATTAAAAAAACCCCAACAGACTTCCAGCTGAAGATTAAGTTTGAATGCTGAGTCTCTGGCTTAGTACTTAAAATGTCACAGAGAGTCCTTTTAAGCAAGATGTATTTTACAAACACTGCCTATTTGAAACTCAGCTATTGCACCATCTATTTACCAATGCCCAAATAAGCATATGTCCCACCTTTGCTCAAAGAGCACTTGCTAAGAAAGTCTATTTTTAATATCATTGCTACTAATCTCTATTAAAACATACCTGAAACTTTACTTTTTTTCTTGGAATATTATCAAAGACACGCATTTGCTCCAGAATGTTCCGCACTTTAGGGCTTATGTTTGGCTTCTTCATTACTTCATGAATTTTCTGAATGAAGAAAACCAGAATTAAATCAGCAAAACAGCACAACAATCAAATGGTACGCAAGGCAGAAACATGCTGGACAGAAGTCACCCAGTACCCACAGACTGTAGAGCCTGCTCGAAAGAACCGTTCAATACGCATGGGAAAAACACTAACCTGTGGTTTTATCATAGATCAAAGTTATCTATATACGTATTTATACCTATATAGTAAGCAGAGGCAAGCAGGACTGTTCACCAATGCTTGCTGATGTACAAGTTACAACTTATAAACTTTTAAAAGTAAAGTCACATAGGAGGTTCTTGCAGTGTGAAGACCTGTATTAAGAGAAGCAATTGTCAACTGATTGACTTTACAAACCTCTGGAGTTAATTATGAAAAAGAAGGCTAACTTTGAGGCCACAGATTGACATGCATTTCTTGTGGCAGCAGTGCCAGTTTCAACAACCATTAATCCCCATAAAGCTCAGGCATATTCCTTTGCTACAGGTGCCAGAACAAGAGAATGGAGGTTGGACCAGGGCCTGGAAGAGCACTGCTGCTTGGTGGGGAAAAAGGGTTCTGAGCTTCCCATTACTTCAAGATGTAGCAATTGGACTGTAAAGGCTTCCTGTACTTCTGAAAATCTGTTTATTGAAAGGTTTTGTGATATGTTAAGACTACCAGAAAAGGACACGCTATAATAATCCCTCACCTCTCTGCACAGGAGGAAGGCTAACAGTTTTCATAAGCGGTACAATTCACATTATACTGCCTTCCAACCACGTACTCAAACAACGTTCAATCTCAACAATCGCAATAATCTGTTTACTTCAATGTTACTATTCGTATTCCTTGACTATGCATATAGCTTAGTACTTTGTTAGATTGTGTTCTAAGATAGAAACCAACAAATCCATGGATAAAGGTGATCTCATTAATTATACCTAATGGGGTTTTGAAAGCGCGTTTGAGAGTTCCTTCCTAAAACCTTTAAAGGAAACTAACAGCCCTAAGAGGGTAGGTTCTTGCACAGGATAAATAACTACCTAAAGGCTAGGACAGGAAGGGTAGGAGAGATTTCCACCCATGCTGGAGCCTCTCCTGTTGAACATATTTATAAAATATCTGAAAAGAAGGCAGGAAAATTTTCCTAATTATATGAAGCTACTCAGGATGAAGACTGTGAAGAATTCCAGAAAGACCTTAAGAGAATGATTGACTAGGTAATAAAAAGGTGAATTATATTCAGCCCAAATTCATGAAAAGCCATCCTAACTTCACATCTAAAATCACAGAATTATAGAAATGGCAGTCTTTAAGATAACCACTGGAGCTCGGACACAAGATCTTGGGCTTAAAATAGCCAATTCCATGAAAATGCCAGCACAATGATCAGCAGCTGTCAAAAAAAAAGTAGTAGGTAACTGACAAAAATCCTAAAGAAAGGAATAAAGAAGGACATAGAAAACATCATTACGACGTGGAGTAAATCTATAGTTCATCCATATCCTCAACAGTTCTTGTAACCTCGTTTCACAAGGATACAGTAGAACTGGACTTCAGAGGTCCAAAGATATAATTTACATATGAAGAACAACTGAGCAGGACAGGACTTCTCAGCCTGAAACAGAGACGATGAGATGGGAGGGACACCAGCCAGAGGTCTACAAAAGCATATGGGCCATGAAGAGGGTGGACAATGATCAATGGTTCGTGTGCAAGAACTAGGGAATGTCAAATCAAACTAGTAGGAGACACACTCAAAACAACCAAAAGGTGTGTTTCTTACCAGGAAAAGCAATAGACCTACCAAGAAATTGCCAAAAGAAAGCTGTGGATATTGGGAAAAAGAGATCTCTGCTTTGATCCAGTATAGCCTCTCTTGTGTCTTCAATGATAATAAACAATAGTTAAACCTTACCTGAATCCACTCCTGTTGCTTAACATCTCCTTTGTTAGTTTTGGCTTCAAAATCTTTTCCACCATATTTCTGGTCTTCACTTACACACCTCACGTGTTCCTTATAATCGTCACCCCTGAAAACAGGAGATTTTTAACTGTAGTTCACTAAAGTGTTTCAGTCCTTCAAAGTATGCAAGACTTGTGTAGTCAACAAACTGAAGTACCAGATGACAGCATCTAACATTTAAACCTTAATACTGTCAGCGCTTATATGAATAAAGTTCGACGTGCTTGCAAGAGTGCTGACATTTCTGTCGTGCTACAGCCTTCAGTGGCAACCTCTGATCTGCAAAATCAGATCTGAGTCTTCATTATGCTCCTACTTTTATAATGACTCTACAACTTATTAGTATTCTGGTTTGAGGACACTTCTGCACATTTGTACACGAGACACATGCACAGCTATTAACGCACACCTGTGTTTTACTACTCACATTGACATGCTTTAAAATTACAAAAGCAGGTGAAAAAATGCTTGCAAAACCTAATTCCTAAATATAGATATATTCTAATACGGTAGTGTGGTTCTGACCGATGTGTAAGTGCCCCCCAAAAGGAGTGAAGAACATAGATATTAATCTTTTGTCAATTAGTTATTGAGAAATATAATCATTATTTGAGAACAATCTTATTTTCTTATGCAAATTCATATACTTATATTTCGAAAGCAGATAATTGCACTGCTTTGTTCTGAGAAGTGACAATCAAATTTGGAATTTTTGATGTTCTTGCCAATCTCACTCCCTCTCCAGCAGCAGAATAAGTAACAGCTGCTGGTCAACAGAAGATGAAAGCACCGTCACTTATCACTATAGAAGAAGAAATTGCAACTCTGCTGTGTGGTTTCGTTGCACTTGTGGTTCAAACTTGGATGATGAAGCTTGAAATTACATGAAAAAGTGTATAATTGTTAAATTTATACACGTTTGCTATTTTAAATTTCAAAACTTGATTCTAATACACCAATAGGGAAATTTGTGACAACCACCGCAGAGCGAGCAAGGCTATTTCCCACCCTTCACCTACCAGAAATCCTTGCCGCAGTCCATGCAGGAAAGGCACTGACAGCTCCTGCAGATGTTCACATGTTTTTCAACTTGTGCTTTCTTCACAGATTCCCCGCAGGCGTTGCACGTGAAAACCACCATGTCGGCGGGCGGTCAGTAGCTCCCGGGAAACGGGTACAAATCTGCTTCCTCCCCGCGCCAGCACAGCCCTAGAAACACAAGAAGGTGAACTCGATTTTATAACTTGAGAGAACTTGGGATGGCCGAGGAGAAAACACAAACTGTGAGTTCCCCGAGAGGAATTCCAAGCAGCTTGATTTCCACGGGGAAAGGTTCATGGAATTGCTGGAGTTGGAAGGGACCTTCTAGAGATCCTCTACTCCAACTTCCCGCCACAGCAGCCTTGTCCACAGCCCATAAACGCTCGCTTTGCCCGATACCTCGGGCACAAGGGGAACCGCTCACCCCGAAACTAGCTACCCCCCCTCACCCCGTGCCGACACACGTCCCAGGCGGCCGTTCACGCTTCCCCTCCGGCCCTCCCGTCCCTCTCCCCGCCGCACACCCGTCTCGGCCGGGCACAGGCCAGCGCTGCCACGGAGGCGGAGGAAGGGGGGGGGGCGGCCGATCTGCTCCACCGCCCCCGGGCACCCCAGCTCCTCCCGGGGGGGCGGGCAGGCCGCTGCCATGCCGCCTCACGCCGCTCCCCGGTACCGCTACCTGCCCTCTAACCGCACCCCCCCCGCCCCGCACCTCAACCGCCGCTCCGCGCGGCACGTGCCACCCCGCCACCTCCGTCACTCCCCGCCGCCGCCGCCCCGCAGCGGAAGCGGAAGAGGAAGGAGCGGAAGCGGAAGGCTGAGTCCGATGCCGCTGGTGGGGCTTGGGCAGCCGCGCAGGGATGGAGCTGGAGCTGTGGGGCGGCCGGAGCCGGTAAGAGCTGAGTGGGGCCGGCTCCTTCCTTTCAGCCGCTCTCCCCGCCTCTGCCAGGCCGGGCCGCGCCGCCTTCCCCCAGCTGAGCCCGTGTGGTGGCCGCGTCTTCCCGCCGCGCCGGTTGGGGCTCGGCCTGTCCTCAGCCCCGGCCCCCTGCAGCAGCGGCTGCTTGAGCCCCGTTACCGCACCCCCGCCTTGCTCCGCCTGCGGTGTCTCCGCGCCTTGCCGCGGTGCCCGGCCTTGTCTTCTGAGGCAATCCCTTCCTCCGTAGCCCTTCTCCCTGCTCCGCCTCCAGCCGGAGCTGTAGCCGGGCAAGGCTGAGGGGAGCTTGAAATGGCAGCTTAAGCATAAACGGCGCCTGTATCACTGGGGTTCCTCTTGCTGGGGAGCAGCTCAGCGTGTCACCTTCTCCCAAGGGAGACAGGCACCTGATGCCTGAGAGGGTGCGAGTTCAGGGGTTGTTAAAGTACCTCCAAGGTGCCGTGGTGGGAGACGTGCCCAAAGAAAGCAGTTCTGTGGCAAACAGATGTGGTTTCCTTATTTTAAAGCCTGGTTTAAAACCCATGATCATAAATAGGAAAAAAAAAAGTACAATATCACAGCCCACTTTAATCCAACAGGAGGCAGTGGGTCACAGAGTAACAGCATAAACTGAAATGTGGAGCTTTTCAGTGCTCATGAGAACTGAGAATGGGGGCAACCGCTTTCTTCTTGTATTTAACCCAAGGTGGTTTTTCTGCTTCGTTGATTAGAAGATTAGAAGTTTTAATTGTCTTGGAATTTTCTTTTATATTTACAAGGGAGCATTTTCATCTTTTTCCCAAAAAAAGGAAGTATAAAACTGAATGTGTGGGGATGTTACTTGTTTTCCCTTCAACCTGTTCAAAGAAGTCTTTTCTAAAAGAGACTTTACATTGTATTAAACGAAAAAAAAAATAATACCATACTAACTTATCTAAAGAATCAGATCCACGTGGGAAATGTGTTTAGCTACAACAGCAAGAAATATGGCATAAAAAAAATGTTACTACAGTGTTCTTTTCAATTTAGAGTGTTCAGTCTACAAATGCTATTGATTTTGTAGGTGTTACATGTTTTTGCCTTAGAATCTAATTGTTGAAGTTTTCTAAATTGCTTTTTGTTGTTGTTACGGAGTTCAGTTTATTGGCAGCAACATTAGCACATTTTTGTGGAAGGTCTTTGTTGTAAGCGAAACTTGATTAAAATCGATATTTCCTGTATACATTGCTGTATTTCTACTGGTGAGCAATACTGTGACTCATCTTTAATCAGAAAAATGTCATTAGAGCTCACATGGCAGGTGTGAACTGAAGTCTGTTTCCTTTGGGAGCTAAAACAAACTGTAAAAATGTTCTTCGTATTCTAAATTCATTTTGCGATTTAATATTTAAAATTCATCTTAGCATTTTATTTCATTGTAGGTAATTTAAGTGATTTTCTAGCATGGACACTGTTGCTAGCCATAGTTGTCATCTTCTCCAGCAGCTACATGAACAGCGCATTCAGGGGCTTCTCTGTGACTGCATGCTGGTGGTAAAAGGTGTCTGCTTCAAAGCACACAAAAATGTATTAGCTGCTTTCAGTCAATATTTCAGGTATGTGATGGAAAATTCTTCCTTTAAAACAGTGAAGTAAATGCTGTTGGTTGAGGTTTTCTCTGAGAAGGGTATCTTTTTCTGATAGTTGCAGACTAAGTAACTGTTTGAGTGTAAGAGGAAAAATTTTTCCAGCTATAATTGTGTATCAAATATTTAATCTAATTAAAAACTGTGGCAATCCTAATTTCTTTTCCAGATAATACATAGTTAACTACTACATAGTTTGAGTTTGGCATTTTCTTGATCCTTACTTGCTTACTGTGCCTCATATAATGGATTCTGGCATCAACCTACATTCAGTATTTCAGAATGAGAAGGTAACAGTTTACAAGGAGGATAGTGGAGTACACTAAACAGAGCCAGATAAGGGATATAATTGATGAAACTTCACATTATCCATTTCCAGATCATGTGAATTGTTCCGTCAGTTATATATTAAAAATAAAACGTAAGTATATAGGTTCTTATTGCATCTCTTATTTAGAACAGATTCTCAGAGAGACAGCGTGTGTGTTTTGAAGTATACAGGTGGCCTGTGAAGCCAAATCACTGTTTTCTTCTCCCTCTGTGTAGCCCTCATTGATCCCCCAAATTTTGGGAGATGTTTGATCTCTCAACTTAGTGTTTTATGTTAGTTATGAGTAAGCTGTTAGATCTGGCAGTATTTAGACCTTGCTTCTTGAAACATCTCTAAAGCTTGACTACCAATTTTTATGTAAGAAAATGATTTTTATGTTATGACCAGGGAAAAAAGCTGAGAGGTTTTTTCCTTTTTCTCTTCTAGTGTTGTGATCCTGATGCTGAAGTGAACTTATGCTCAAAAGACTGAATTTTTAAAATAGTTTAAAAGAACTAGGTGTCCAACTCTTGCTGAAATTCTATAGGATATAAGTGACTAATTAATTTAGACTCTTAACCCAGATCTGTTTATTTTAGTTGTGGTTTTAATTTAAATAGTATGGGCTGGATTTATGAAAGAATTTGGATGTGGGCACCACCTTCAGAGTAGCATGTAGGTATGAGGGTAGGACAACTTAAGTATGGGGATGCATCTGAAAATGCATTTCTAAAGTTTAAACCTAGACTCTCATTTGCTTAAGATTCAGAGCTCAGTGATACTATGTCCACCTAATTTGAGAGTCAACCCACGGAGAGGAATCATCAAGTTTAGGGCATTTCCTAGTGTAGGAAAATAGCTACATAGGTGTGACCTGACCCCATTTATATATTGTTGTTTACTGTGAGAGTATGAGGTTAGAGACTGGGGGGTTTACTGGAAAGGTGTGGAGTTCCTGACTGAGGCAGAGGATGAACCCACTTAATCTAGGACTGGTGATGTGTGTGAGGAGCTACAGCTCTGACGCTAAGAATACTTTACATCAAATAGTAAGAAATTTATGAATTCAGGCACTTTAAGGATTCAATGACAATTCAGTGGGTGTTGCCGAACTGCTGTTTTAGGCTCATGTGCCTGTACTTTTCGTTATTCTTTTGCTTGGTTCTCATTCTGTAACAGAAAAAATACTTTTTTCCGATTGTAAGACATACATTGAAAATAATGCCATCTTCTTGTTTACTGTTACTGTCCTCTCACCTACTTGTGGAGAAATAACCAATAATAACTTCAGTAAAGTTTACTGATAAAGTTTGATGGACAAGCATAGCTGCCAGAAGAGAATAGTTTAGCTGATTTTTGAGGTCTGTTTTCTTTTTGCTAGAAAATTTCTTGTGTCCTGTTTCATTTGCCATGACAGAAGGAGAAACACCATTCTAAGTCAACCAACCTTTGCAAATTGTCCATAAATGCACCCCTGTACCTAATATGTAAAGAACATTGGATAGGAAACCGCAGATATAGGGTGTGATTTCAAAACATAAAAAATAGAAAATTAAAGTTATATAAAGGGTAATTTACTTTGACTTATGCTTTAAGTGTACTAGTGTAGGACTAATATACAAGACAAGTAATTGAGCAGTTTTGAGACCTTGATCTGCAAAAACACAGCAATCTAGATAAGACCATGTAGCATAAATTGTTGTTTCATACCAATCAGTCTGTTTGAAGTGTCTGTGTATTTTTTTTATAGAAGTGTCTGTTAATTGTTTGTGTTTGAATATTTGCCTTATTTTATCAGGACCCTTTTCCAGAATTCTTCGGGCCAGAAGAATGATGTCTTTCACTTGGACATTAAAAATGTAGGTGGGATAGGCCAGATCTTGGACTTCATGTACACTTCTCACCTGGATCTCAGCCAGGACAATGTACAAGCTATGTTGGATATCGCGCAGTGTCTCCAAGTGCAAAATGTGCTGAACATTTGCCACACCTTTTTAAAATCTTCTACAGCTGTAGAGCAAACAGCCAGCATGCCTTGTAACAGCGTGTTTTCGCTGCAGAGTGCTTTGCCTGCGGATGCCAGCTGCACCAACGACAGTTACGGGACAAACCTCTTGCACGAGTGTTCATCTGACACACAAGCCAATAAAGTCTTGCCTGACCACCATTCGCACGCCTCGCAGCCCGTTAATCTTCACGCACCCTCGGGTGATGTGCAGAAACAACCACAAGACTCCTTGGATGGCAACTGCCCAGAGCTTCCTTTTAAGCAACCAAATTACTATTATAAACTACGCAACTTTTACAGTAAACAGTTCTATAAGCAAAACGCTTGCTCTAATCATGAGAGAGTGGCGGAACAATCCTTCTCTTACAACACGTCTACAGAAATAAACGCAGTAGAGAATAATTCTTGTACCGTCAATCACTCGGAGTGTATTCTGGAAACCTCTGATCATTTACCATCAAACTTTCTGGTTCAGTCTGTGAATGAAGCTGCCCCGGACCAAGATGCCGAAAGTGCGCTTATGCAGCCCACCAAACAGATGCGACTGAAAAAGGCAATACACCTCAAAAAGTTAAATTTTCTAAGATCTCAGAAATCTGCAGAGCAGCCGCCTGAGCCTAAAAGAGATGACAGTAGAGTAACAGGAGTAACTGAATCTGTAAGTGAAAGTACCATGGACATGACAAATGTTAGAGATACTGAAGAAAAAGAAACTGAAGATTTAGTGAATTCTGAGAATTTTGAACAAGCTGTTGAAATTGAAAGATCTCAAGGTCCTTTGGAGCAAGAAGGGCAATCACAGACTCTTCAGTCGCAGAGGCAATATACTTGTGAGTTATGTGGGAAGGCTTTCAAACATCCAAGCAATTTGGAGCTCCACAAAAGGTCTCATACAGGTACAGTTATCAATAACTTGGTCTGCAGACCAAATATTTCAATTAAAGAGGATGTCCTGTGGTATCTCTTGATTCAGATGCTGGTTCAGGGTCTACTTTCAAAAGCTTGTGTGTTTTTTGGTCTTTTTTTTTTTTTAATGAATAATCATAAATGAATAAAGACTGTAAGACTGAGTCTAGCTGAGGGTTGTATTAAAGATTTCTCCTTCATATTTGTTTTCTTAGGGTTCTTCTTAAAAGAACATTGTGCAGTATTTAAATGAAAATTTTATTTTTGTCTTGCATTTAGAAGAGGCGTTTCTAGTCAGTTTGTCAGATGGCCCAGAAGTCTGAGTCAGATAACAAAAGTGTAAATGGGTAGAAGAAGATACTACGACTGTTCTAGACGATCTCAGTTCTTTCTGATTGTATATTCATTGTAAGATGCAACTGATTAAGGCTTGGTGCTCATTTCTTTTTAACCTGTATAAATATGCTCAAAATTTAATTTATACCTTTTTCCTAGCATGAAGAACTTTCATTGTGTTTACCCAGAGAGAGTAATGCTCTTGCAGACAAGTAGGCTGCAGAGTGAATGGGAATTTGGAAATAATTTTCTTTGTTTTAAAAGCTCAAGTCAGATAACAAAAGTGTAAATAGATAGAAGAAGATACTACGACTGGTCTAGATGACCTCTGTTCTTTCTGATTGTATATTCATTGTAGGATGCAGCTGATTAAGGCTTGGTGCTCATTTCTTTTTAACCTGTATAAATATGCTCAGAAATTAGTTTATACCTTTTTCCTAGCATGAAGAACTTTCATTGTGTTTACCCAGAGAGAGTAATGCTCTTGCAGACAAGTAGGCTGCAGAGTGAATGGGAATTTGGAAATAATTTTCTTTGTTTTAAAAGCTCACAGGTAATACTATTTTTAAACCTTGCATAGATTTATTTTTAAGTATCTTTTTTTCCTAGAGAAAAACAAGACCCAGTCTCAAATTTGAATTAACTAATTTGTCTGTTCAACTTACCCACTGTGTTCTATTCTATTTGTATATTTTTAGATATGTTTTTTAAAAAAGGCTAACCTGTATAAATATGCTCAGAAATTAGTTTATACCTTTTTCCTAGCATGAAGAACTTTCATTGTGTTTACCCAGAGAGAGTAATGCTCTTGCAGACAAGTAGGCTGCAGAGTGAATGGGAATTTGGAAATAATTTTCTTTGTTTTAAAAGCTCACAGGTAATACTATTTTTAAACCTTGCATAGATTTATTTTTAAGTATCTTTTTTTCCTAGAGAAAAACAAGACCCAGTCTCAAATTTGAATTAACTAATTCAACTTAACCACTGTGTTCTATTCTATGTCTATATTTTTAGATATGTTTTTTAAAAAAGGCTTTTAAGAAATACCTTAGTTAGTCAGGTAACAGCAGTGATTCCAAGTCCGTGAGATGGCATTGTTCGTGATTAAGCTGCTGAATATTTTTTGCCTTTCTTTTTCCCTGTGTTAAATGTGCAAATGCATCTCTCAGTCCTGTCAAATAAACATCACTTTGCAAATGAGCATAGGTGTATCTGTAGCTTGACAGTAAATACTAATCCCTCTTAGCAGACATTAATTTCTTTTGTTAATTGATCCTTAGTATTAAGAATTTATTTTTCCATGTTATTAGTAGAAAAATCTTTCCAGAACCTGAAAATATGAACATTTTGCATTATCTTCCTAAAGTTTTCACTTGATATCTTTGACTACTGCTGTATGTTCACATTACTAGTACTTTTTTTTTTTTTAATTTGGTCTCTTATGAAAAAGTTGCATGTGTCTCTTATGTAGATACTCTTTCTTTCCTTTGTATGTTTTTGAATCTATTATCCAATTTTAACTGACATAATCAGGTATATTTTAATATCTTAGAAATTTCACGAAAAAAGATGATCAGATAGGAGCTAGAGCATGTAGAGATAGTTGCAGCTGAGGGAGAGACTCTGGAGTCGCTAACATGTGAGTTCATGTGAGAGAATCCATGTGAAAGAGAAATGAGAAACCTGTTAGAATTTGCCCCTCCTTAGCTATCTCAATCATTGGAAGAAAGCTGGATTTTGTGAGTTCTGGTGCCCACCAGACTACTTGGGTTTTTTAAGAATGTGTTATCCAAGCGATAGACTGAATTGTTGTATATTTCTGAGTCTGCTAAACCATTTAAAACACGGGGTTCGAAGTTTAATCTACCTTTTCCAATGTATTGTAACCTAAAGGTCAGGGGAGTGGGCTGGGTACTAAGCTTTAGAGAAGAAAGAGACTGTAGCCCCTGATACAAGTGTTTTACAATTTTTTTTCCTTGGCCAGCAAATGCTTACAAGTGTAGGAAATGGCAAGAGAGAGGAAGTGCTGCAGTAGCTTTGCCAAGAGTATTTGTGTGTGTTGCAGTTCATTTTTTCATTCCTATTTGAGTTCTGTGTATTTACACGTATTTCCACTCCACTTAATCTCTGGTAGATGTTGTTTCAGGTTCCGCAACACTGTCTGATACAAACTAGCTTTATACATTGGGTAAGAAATGTGATCCTAGACTTGGTTTTGGTGTTGGATTCAGGAATTTCGTGCTGCTTTTCATAAACTATGTTGTCCCAGTAGTTTCCAAAAAATTCCAGACTTGAATGTTGCCACTGAAGGTGGCATTAACTTTCTTGTATAGATGTGCTAAACTGACAAAGTTTAACAGCATAAGTTTAAAAAATAAGCACATCAAAGAATGATGGAAAAAAGGAGGCAAGAATATGATTTAGGTGTACCTGTTTGCTTCCCTGTTGTTTGTGGTTCATGTTAATTTGTTTTTAAATATCCAACTAGTGCAAAAGGAGAACTTGAAAAATTGCAGTGGATAGTAAGTAGGATGTTAATACAGGAAGGATCTGTAGTGAACGTACAGGGCACATCTGTATCATTAATATTAGGTGTGCTGGTAGTTAAGTAATGGAAGTGTACGCTAAAAGCCATTTCCATCTGCCACTTTAGCACACATAGCAAATGGCTAGCTAATGAATTTTATTTAAAAACATTCATTTTCTAGAACTGAGCAAAAGGTTTAGCAGGCATTTAAGTATTACGGTGCTTACTGAAACTCCTCCAAATCTGGTTTTCCTGAAGAGCAATGGCAAGACAGTTTTTAACCCATAAATGACAATTCTTTCAGCAGAAGTGCTATGGAGGCCTAGTTGATGAGTAAAAGCACACGTGAAATTCTCTGTCCCTGAACTCTAGGAATTGCTAAAGAATTTACAGGTTAACGTGGTTGCATTGATGAGTTGTCTATGTAAAGGACAGGCATATTCTGTTCAACACAAGTCATTGTATTGGGTTTTCTAGCAGTTTTGATTGTATTGCTAGCGGATATTTAAAGGAATCTCTAAATAGAGCTTATTGTGTTGACTTAAAGATTGATTTTGACTCATCTGAATGTTATAATTTGTTTTTTATTAGATTGACCTGTCTGGAAAAAAAAAGGAAGCAGATATATCTCTCTTCGTTGACTTACAGATTGATTTTGACTTATCTGAATGTTATAATTTGTTTTCTATTAGATTGACCTGTCTGAAAAAAAAAGGAAGCAGATATATCTCTCTTGTACAGTCCTTACCTATCCAGGAACAACCAGTGTTTTGGGGTTTTTTATAAATATTTTCAGGAAACATCTCATACCCTCCACCCCCACAGAAAGAACTCTTGGCAGCATGGAAAACAGGAGCAGTGTTACACTGTCATATAATACGCTGTTGATCCTCAACCTTTTTATTCTGAGCTTTGCTTGAGCAAGTTTTTCAGCCTTCCATGTTTTAGTGGGTCCTGCTCCTCACCTTTGTGATCTCTTCAGGAACACCATTTCTGTCTTTATGCCTTTCTCCTCTGGAGCTGACACACCACTGCTTTGATCCCACTACTGTGGGATCCCACTACTTAATCTTCATCTCTTCTTGCAGAATGTTGAAAAAGAAAGATGCAACAGAAGATAGAAAACACAAAGCAGTCCAAGGGTTCAAAAGTCAAGCCCCCTGGATGTTTATTTAAGCATTGTGTCAATTGTAGTTCAGTGTATATCTACCCAGTACATGTAGACAGCAGGATGGTTTCCTCTTTCCCTTCTTTTAAGGCTCCAGATGTGGTCTCACCAATGACGGGTAGAGAAGAATCATCTGCAGCTTACTAGCTGCACTCCTGCTAATATGCCCTAGGAAACAATTAGTCTCACTTTACCTGAGGGGTGCTACAACGCTGTAGGTAATTTAGTATTTCTGCTATTGAAAAAGAAGGATGCAACAGAAGATAGAAAACACAAAGCAGGCCAAGGGTTCAAAAGTCAAGCTCCCTGGATGTTTATTTAAGCATTGTGTTAATTGTAGTTCAGTATATGTCTACCCAGTACATGTAGACAGCAGGATGGTTTCCTCTTTCGCTTCTTTTAAGGCTCCAGATGTGGTCTCACCGATGATGGGTAGAGAAGAATCATCTGCAGCTTACTAGCTGCACTCCTGCTAATATGCCCTAGGTTTCCTCTTTCCCTTCTTTTAAGGCTCCAGATGTGGTCTCACCAATGACGGGTAGAGAAGAATCATCTGCAGCTTACTAGCTGCACTCCTGCTAATATGCCCTAGGAAACAATTAGTCTCACTTTACCTGAGGGGTGCTACAACGCTGTAGGTAATTTAGTATTTCTGCCAGAATTCATTCTTGGAATAGGCTGCTTGATATGCCTGGTGGTTTGGAGTTTTATGCAGGTGTAGAATTGTTCTCCAAAAACTAATTTGATGTTTCTTTTCAAACAAAACTTTTTTTTGTTTTATCTTTATCATGGGGGGAAAAAACCCCATCCAATTCCTTGTACATCAATACAATTATAACAAGGCTGCATGCAACCTACAACAATACTTTTGAGAAGTTTGAGCCTCCAATTCCCTTCTTCCCCCTCTAGTTATTTCAGGGTGTATTTCTGTTCAGATAATAGTCTTTGTGTTAACAGTAACTTTTTGTTGTAGAAAGTTTCTGCAGAAATTGCTACTAGGGTTTTTATCTTCCATTTCAAATTACCTTGATGCTTTTATGGTTGTTAGAAGCCTTCCCAGTCGCCACAGGTCTGGCTCCCTGTTGGTTTCATTTATATTTGTGTGGTCAGTACCAAAATTTTTAGTGTTTTGCAAATTTAGAGCCATAATGAAATCAAGCCTCAGTGCTCTTTATAGTTGAGTTATTTTTATCTTTAATTGAATAAAAGCTTTATTGAAGCGAGCCTCCAATTCCCTTCCTCCTCCTCTAGTTATTTCACAGTGTTTTTCTGTTCAGATAATAGTCTTTGTGTCAATAGTAACTTTTTGTTGTAGAAAGTTTCTGCAGAAATTGCTACTAGGGTTTTTATCTTCCATTTCAAATTACCTTGATGCTTTTATGGTTGTTAGAAGCCTTCCCAGTCGCCACAGGTCTGGCTCCCTGTTGATTTCATTTATATTTGTGTTGTCAGTACCAAAATTTTTAGTGTTTTGCAAATTTAGAGCCATAATGAAGTCAAGCCTCAGTGCTCTTTATAGTTGAGTTATTTTTATCTTTAATTGAATAAAAGCTTTATTGAAACTGCTTTAAGATTTCCATTCCTCATTAAGCAGAAAGAGTAGATAGAGCCTCAAGTTGTCAGACTAACTGCGAGATTGCTCTCTGTGAAGCCACAAAACTCTCTCTGTTTACTCTCTGCTTTAAGATCCAAGAGAGCTGCTTTAGTCCTTGATCCTGAAATATGTTGAAAAATCATCACCTGTATTTGGCAGCAGGGAAGGGAAATGGCACCTCAACAGCTGGATATTGTAGATGTTGCTTGTAATACTTCCAAGGATGAAGGAAGACTACTGATCTAGAGAGTACTTGCTGGAGGAGAAGGCTACAAATAGCCCAGAGGTGTTCTATAAAATCAGGAAAATAATAATTTAAAAAGTAAATAAGAATCTTTAGACAGATTTTGACAAAACTCTCTCTGTTTACTCTCTGCTTTAAGATCCAAGAGAGCTGCATTTAGCCCTTGGTCCTGAAATATGTTGAAAAATCATCACCTGTATTTGGCAGCAGGGAAGGGAAATGGCACCTCAACAGCTGGATATTGTAGATGTTGCTTGTAATACTTCCAAGGATGAAGGAAGACTACTGATCTAGAGAGTACTTGCTGGAGGAGAAGGCTACAAATAGCCCAGAGGTGTTCTATAAAATCAGGAAAATAATAATTTAAAAAGTAAATAAGAATCTTTAGACAGATTTTGAATCAGCACCAACATAGTGTTAAGATCTCTCTTTACTTCTGGGAATATCTTCATTAAAAATCACAAGGATTTACACTAATTTTGCTTCCTTGTACCTGTGGATTATGTATGTCCTTTTAGTATGCAGTTAGACTCATGAAAATATCATTAGAAGTTTCACTGTCATTGAATTCAGTGGTATTTGAGTATTATCATTGTTTTAAAAATTCAAGAAGATGCACAGAGATTTTTATCAGCGGTGTAAAAGCTAGGAAACCAAGAACTAAGCAGGGAAAAAAAATGAAATACTGTAGAGGAGAAAAATTGATTAGAAAAAGATATTTGTCTCAAATTTACTGGTAGAGAATTGAAATATTTTGCAGTCACATTTTGCAGATTGAGAGTCAGGTTATTTTGAAAAGCTAAAGTGGGCTGCACTATTTATTTTTTTTTAACTAAAGCTGCTCGTGTTTTTGGAGATTCAAGAATAGCAGTTTTATATGTATAAATTCAGAATTTTGGAGGAAAATACTTGGGTTACTTGTCAGATATTCTTATATAAAAGGAGAATTTGAAGATACTTCCTGGAAGTGAATAGCTACGTGCTGATTGGAGATGGATGGTACACATGGAACAGGAAAAACAGAATCCTGCAAAATTAGCTTCTCTGCATTCCTTATTTTTTTTAAGACTGGGCCTTTGTGTGTACAAGTGAAGAAACTTGTGTACTTCCCATAGTAGTTGTGGTTGTAGGACCTTGTCATCTGTTCTGCTCATCCTGGAGGTATGGTACCCCTTTCATTTGGAAAAAAAAAAAACTTTTAAAAAAATTACAGAACACTCCTATTTGTATCAAAACTATTCTACCTACTTGTTTTGAAAGATAAATTCTGTTTCCGAGCAAGTCTGCCTTACAAGCTTAATGGTAAATACTGTACTTCCCTCTTGAATTTCCCCTTAAATATATGGGTAAGTGTCCCTTTGGGGATATTTTCACTCTTACATTCCCTGTTTTAAAAGGAAGTGTACCAAATTAAAACATTTGTATTTTATTGCAACTATTAGAAGTTCTATTCTGTTTCTTCTTTTAGGTGAGAAACCTTTTGAATGTAACATTTGTGGGAAACACTTCTCACAGGTGGGAATATTTTATATTATGGTATACTTGAAAATGAAATGCATCTATGTGTTGATTCTAAGAGTAAACTTGGGTTTAAGTCTATAGATATTTTTTGTTCAAAGACTTGACTTCAGGGATAAAATATTAAAATGTCTTATTTGAAAATAATGTTAAATGTTTGAGATTTCTTTGATATGTTTTGTACCTTTGACTCTATCTGCTCTCAGTAGATGCGTTACGTATTTTAACTTCAAATGAGTGTTTAACTATACAGAGCCATCACTATGTTTGAAATGCAAAGAACGTTCACTCTGAGACTGTGCTTTTGCCTTATGGTTCAGGTTCTGTTGTGAATAGCACTTTTACAGTGTCTGAAAAAAAATACAGGTTAGAATTTTAGATAATGTTGTATTCACAGTACTGTTTCATCTTCCTAAATGGCATAAATTATTAAGCAGGTTTTTTGAAGTCGGTTTCTTTCTATGAAGAACGGCACAATCTGAAGTTACAAAACTCAGCTATGATTTAAAAAAAAACCAAGCTTGTGAAATTCCTCATCTACGTACGGGGCCTAAGCTTTAGCTGTCTCAGTTTGCTCTCCAATGCTTGCTTACTCTTCTGGGTGCAACAATTTGTTTGCATTTCTACAAATTTGGTGCCTCGTCTTACGTTTCCAAAATATCTGTTTCTTTTCTATTTTGTTGGTTGGATTATGTGCACTGGAATACAGGAGACAATACACAGGTGCATAACTTTATACTAAGATTAAATAACAATTATCATTGAATAACTTTGGTCTTTCTTATGGTTTAAGGATTGGAGTTATGTGGTCTCTGTCTACCTACCCACCAGGGCTTGTGCTTCTCTTGCTCCAGTTTTGTAGTCCCCCAGTGGGACTTCTTTGACCCATGAATCGATGCAGTTGCATCCTCCACTGTTACTAAATATGAATATTTAGTGAGCATCCACTGAGCAATACTGTTTCATTGTGCTTATCAAGCCATTTTGGAAAAGCTGGGTCTGCTTGTTAGGTGATGAAAGTGCATTTTCACTCAGTTGGATGGCTGAACTTCTAGTTACTAAAGAAAAAAGTGGGTATTTCCAAATTCCATTAACATTGCTTTTGGCAAATGGAGTGGTGTTCTGTATCATTGCTGCTGGGGAAGAGGGAATAAAAAGGCTTCACACGTTCAGAGTGGATGAGAGGGATGACAGACACCTCATGCAACATGCAGTGCTCCTCTTTAATAAAAGCAAATGAAAACCCCAACAAAACTGGAAGTTTCTGCCTTTTAATTAAAACACTTCAACAGCTCCCCTCCTCTTCCCTCCCCATTACCTGACTTGCCTGAAGGTAACCGTAGACACGTGCTGATGGACGACACCTACACATCCAGAGCCTGAGCCATAGCGTTCAGCTTGTGTGCTGCAGTTCTGCTGCTGGTCATGAAAGGGAACTTGCATACTTCTCTTGAATTGTGCAAATAAGTGAAACTCCACCTACCAGAAAGTAAGATGCAAAGATAATTGCTATCTACTTTTTGCTTAAAAAACCATCTCTGATCTTGTTCTTGATCTTCGCAGCCTGCAGGCACAGAAATAGTCACGCTTTTCTAATTTGAGCCTTCATGTTCTGTGCCTTTGAGACAGTGCAGTTGCTGCGTCTGAGAGTGTGTCTGCTTCTGCTGAATGTAACTGATGTTCCGTGTTGTTCTGTGTTTTGGAATGTCAAACAGAAGATGAAGAAAGCAGGGAAAAATGACATGGGAACTCATAGTCTGGAACAAATAACCATAAATGTCTTGGATTTTGGGAGAAAAAGGTTCCTTTTGTACTTCCAAGCCTGCATCTTCCCTTACCTCTAGTACCCAGCCTGTTGCTGTGTGGGCCTTCTCTGCCTGGTGATCCAGGATATCGTGTTTTACCTTCTGACTATCCCCCATTTGGGGGACCATATGCACTAGTTTCTTCACTTTAAAAGCATGCCAGATACAAATGGACCAAGTCTAGCACATCTCTCTTGTTTCCAAATTCGTGAGGGGTGGTATGCAACCAGTATCAGTAAGAGGATTCTTCTGAACATTATTTTTTCTTTTGCTGAAATGCTGGCAAAAATCCTCACATGCTTTTTCATTGGGATGGCATATTATGCCTTAACCAAGGTTGTGTGCCACCCTGAAAGCTTAGGAAGAATATAAGTTACTGATTGTTTTAACTTTTTTTCTCTCAGCGCAGTTAGTAACAAGCTTTTGCCCTCATTAGGAGGAATTGCCATAGGCTTGTAATAAAGAAGTGGATCTACTTGCTACTCTTTGTAAAACTTTGTTACTCTGGCTAAAAATGCCTGTATGTGAATTATTTCAGATTAATTGTTTCACTTCAAATTCACCATCTGTCTTTATCCAGAATAACTTGAAAATGCATATGATATGGTTTGGTTTGTGACCTGGGTAGAGGTAAAGGTTCTGTCTTTTTTATGTTTCTCTCAAATGCATCTCTGCATAAAATCCCTTGTCTTTGCAAAGCACAAGTGGCTCCATGGAGAAGTCAGTCTCCTCCTTCATCAGAAATCAGCACTTAATACCCAAATCCATTCAAAGAGAGGCATTCTAAATTTGGGCCTGAGAGGACAGTGCTTCAGCCATACTGTGTCTGAAAAACTTCACAGGGGTTACAGAAAGCTCTCTCAGGGTTCAGACGGTGATGCCTTTAATATTGTCCTCTGTATCTATTTGTGTGTCTGCAATACTTTAGGTCTGGTATATTATAAACTCTGATTACAGTGATTGATCATCACAGGTAAATTTATTATCTAAAGAAGTAGGAAGAAATTACCAATGAGTCTTGTTTTTATTGTCTCACTGTGACTAAGGAGGACATGATAATCTTTGCATCCCCAATTTTCTTTCCTGATTGAAAGGACTTAATGTTCCTTTAGTGTACTTAGATAAAACCAGGTAATTATCTATCAGAGAAAATGGAAGGGTTAAAAACTGACTGTGGAAGTATACACAATTTATGGAATATCTGCAGCTCTTCTCCCCAGGCGAGCTGTATCTTGTGCTTTGAGAACTGGACTCTCAGTGGATTAGCCATTCAGAAGCACCAGTGGCTTTAAAAAAATAAAATAAAAAAGAAGTTGGAACGAGTAAGATGGTTTTGTCTGGTCATTATATGGTTTGCCTGCTAGATTAGCATGATTTTTACAGCATCAGGACAGGAAAGATATGTAATAAAAATTAGTTGCCATTAATCCCATTTGTTCATTTCTGTACTTGCTGTTCTGTTTTCTTTTGATACAAGTAAATATTTATATATTTGGAGCACTTGGCTCTGAGTACTGTATGTTTTGAAAAATGTTTACCCTATTATTTGTTTTTAACCTCCTGCTAGGTGAAATCAGACATTCTGATATAACAATATTTTATTTGTAGGACAGGGAAAATGAGACTAACATGAACCGTATTACTAGTAAGTTTTCTTCTTCACTGCAATCTAGATAGTGTAATTTTCATTTATAATTGGATCTGTTTTCAACTATAGGTCTTTCCTTTTCCATAGCATTTGATTCCAGTCTTCTTTTTTTTTTTTTACTGTTCTCATCAGTATATAATTGCATACATAAGCAATTCCGTTTTTTTTTTTTTTTTTTTTTTACTGTTCTCATCAGTATATAATTGCATACATAAGCAATTGGATCTTGAAGTACATGGTAGTCTGTCTTTACTAGATAAGAATGCTTGAATTCCTACATGACTTGTAGTCTTCACTGCCTTAGAATTAGGAGTAAAGAGCCAGTCTTATAGTTCCCATCATTGTCTTTTTGTCTGTATACAGCAACAGGCTAGCTGAATTTAAATGTCTACATTATTGTCCCTTCAGGCAGGTAATCTCCAAACACATTTACGTCGACATTCTGGTGAAAAGCCATACATCTGTGAAATCTGTGGGAAAAGGTGAGTAGAATTGTTTGTCTTGGTAAAGTTAACATGATAACGCTTGTTCATGTTTTCTTTAATCTTCCTGATAAACTAAGGGCCAAGAGCTAAGGCAGTGTGCTGCTCCATTTTGTTTAAAAGACAGATGGGTACTGATGGGATTAAAAGACATAAATGTCTGCAAGTGTCTTGTTGCAAGTCTCAATAATAAGATAAACATGTCATTGCATATATAGTTTTACCCCCCCCTTTTTTTTTTTGGTATATTGGTATCTTTAGTTAAGAATTGTTGTGTCTATTTTGAACAGTGTGAGTCCCAGTAAATCATGCAATTTGGTACCTTTACCTTGCAGGGTTTTTTTCATTATTTAGTCATACAAATTTTGTTAAATTTTATGGACATTATGAAGTATGGGAAACTTGATGAATTTAAGCACAGCATTAAATATTTCTGCCTTCAGCTAACAGGTGACAGAAAATACACTAATTTAGGAGTAGCATTAAAGTAAGTTAAATGCAGAATAGACTAGTAGCAACAGGTATTCGTTATAGTTGATTTCCACATGATACCCATTAGGAGAAAAAGGGGCTTATAAAGACAGTAACTGGGTTTCTGTATTCTGTTACAGATTTGCTGCTTCTGGTGATGTTCAGCGTCATATTATTATCCATTCTGGAGAAAAGCCTCACCTGTGTGATATCTGTGGCAGAGGTACGTAAGAGCCAAAGTTTCTGCCTCTGAGGTTTTTTGATTGAAATGTGAGGAGTCATTTTAATCTCGGTGTCTGTCATATTTTTCTAGGGTTCAGTAACTTTAGTAATTTAAAGGAGCACAAAAAGACCCATACAGCTGATAAAGTATTCACCTGTGATGAATGTGGGAAGTCATTCAACATGCAACGAAAATTAGTAAAGCACAGAATTAGGCATACCGGAGAGAGACCATACAGCTGTTCAGCATGTGGTAAGATTTACTGTGCACAGCTTGGTGGTGCCTTTGCTTTTTGAATGATAGGTAAAAATTCCTGTGTCAGCAGAGTAACAGTTAACCTGTCTCATATACTTCATAATCTTTTATTTGTTGTATTAAACTCCTTGAGTTCCTGAAAATAAATTCAAAATTGAACTTCAGTTGAAGAATAGAGAAAGGAAATAAGAGGAATCAGTGTTAGGTATGTTTGCTAGCAAAGTACTGATAGTAGCTGCTTCAAAAATTGGTATATTTTCAGTATAGTCCTTTCTGATGGAAATCCAGGTTGTTTGGTATCACTTGGTCATTCATGGAATCTTTTTTTTGTTGTTCTTGTTTATTTTTCCAATTAAACACTGTTTGGATTTAACTACAATCTACCATAGAGTTTGATAGTAACAACCTTTTGCTACTTTGCTTCAACCTCTGGAATAAAATCAAAACTTGATGAATGCTTCATATCAGAGAACACCCGTTTTCAAAATCTAGATAGGTCATACTTACAGGTGGTCTGAAAATGGCTCTTTGATCAATGAATCATCCTTATATAACATAGTTCTCAAAAATTGCGTTGTCTGTCCTTAGTTCCTGCATTACTTGGCATCCTGCATACTCCATCCTTTTCTGCCCTTCTATTTTGGTATAATTTCATTGACATTCTGAGGAATCAGCTTTGGATGAGGGTAGCTCCATATGATAATGTCCAACTGAAGTATATTTTATTTGTAATGTCTTGAGGCACAAGAAAGCTAATTTTATCAGAGATTTTGCATTGGAGGAAGGAAATATAGACATGCAGGATATGAAAAACTAAACAAACAGTTGTGTTGTTGTCATTAAAACAGGCTTATTTTCATCTTGTAGTGGTCTTTTGATTATTTTTCATTTTAGCCAGATCATTTTGTTCAGAGAAGGCAAAAATTGTCCAAAGAGAATCTGATCAAGTTTTAAGAAATCATTTGCAGTACACAAAAAATCCACATGTATTATTCCAGTAATCTGTAATGTTACTGTTACTGCTTAGTGGCTTTTTTGAAGAGAAATCTGGTCAGTAGAGCAAAAAGTATGATGCCGAAAATTGAGACTGCAGTTTTACTGGGCTTTCAGATAATACAGATTTTCATTAATATCTGTCCACACAAAATAGAATAATCTTTAACCTAGGTAAAATGAGATAAAATCACATGCAGTTACCAGCTTATTTCTTCTTTCCTAATGAATGTGAGGTGAATCATATAGCAATTCTGGAAATTAATGCTCTCTTTTTCTGCTTGTTCTTCTGTACTTTGCCTTGGTTCAGCCTCAGACACCTTCTTCTTTGCAGTAGGGTAATTGTATTTATTTGAGCCTGTGGTTCTGAAAATAGGCAAACAATTGAATATTTTATTGTATTCTAATATTTGCAACAATAAAAAAAAATACAATTTGGACACATCTGGCTAGAATATAAAAAATAGACTGCTGTATTACGTTGGCTCAAAGTTAACCAAAAAAGCTAACTTTGTCAGCAATTTAAGAATAGTTTTTGGTAATGAACAAACCACTACTTTCTATGATGCAGTTCTCATTGGAAGAATATATTTAGAAGCTTATCAGCATCCTGTTTTTCCAGACAGACAAATAAAATTGATTATTTTAAAATGTTTTTTCCTCCATGAAGATTGATACAAACTGAGAGCACTCACAGCTTTCTAAGCCTAATGGATGTTCCCGTCTCTGGAGACAAAAACTAAAGCACTGAGAAACACGAGTTAGAAAATCCTATCAAGGAGAAGAAACAAGTCACTGAATAGTAAAAATAGATGGAACTTGTTTGAACCTGTCCTAGATAAACAAAGTACCGTGATTGGGACATACCATACCTTATCACTTGATATTTCCTCCAATTAAAGCATGTTTATGCGCTTCTGTTAAGAACAAAATCTTGATCTGTCACTTCTGTCTTGCAGGGAAATGTTTTGCAGGCTCTGGTGACCTGCGTAGACATGTGAGGACTCACACAGGAGAAAAGCCTTATACCTGTGAAACTTGTAACAAATGCTTCACTCGCTCTGCTGTCCTGCGGCGGCACAAGAAAATGCACTGTAAAGCCCCCGAGGAAGGTCCAAACACACTAGATGAGTTTACTCAAGGGATTGAAACTTCTGACCTTGAGAAATCTCAGAGTTCTGACTCCTTTGGCCAAGAAATGTCTGTTACGTTGTTACCAGTGTCTGTTAAATTTCCCATTCGTCCAACTGCAAATTCAACTGAATTTGATGGTTCTGCGGATTCTTACTGTAAGTTGCGATCAATGATTCAACACCAGGACTCAGCGAACCCACAGAAACTGAACGTGGATTCTGCTAAACTCCCGAAAGCTCCGACACAGCAAACTCCTCCACCACCACCATATGCTTATGCAGATGCAGATGTATCTTCTGCAGAAGAACCCTTACAGTCGGACAATATTCCCATGATTCGTTCCTCTCTGGTGAGCTTGGACAGTCAGTGCAATGACCCACTGGGCAGTCGAACATCATCTGCTGCGTACAAGAATAATGAAGGACCATTCTTCTCCAGCATGACCCTCTGGGGTTTGGCTATGAAGACCTTGCAGAATGAAAGCGAATTGGAACAATGAGGGCTCAGGTGACTGTATCAAAACTTCTTCGAGGCATTTCATGCTAAAGTGATTGCGATCACACTGCAGTGTAGAGATCAGAGCTAGTTTTTAAGCCATCTAGCTTGGATACCGGTAGAAATCAAGATACGCGTGCCCAGAACCCGGCGTAGGCTGCCTTTATACTGCTCCTTAGCAAAGTTCAAATCTAGTTTCGAGGACCTTTGTTGTTCTGTGACTGCGCTGTGTTGCTCATGTGTTGCCAGGATTTACTAAAATTTACCATTTACTAAATTTGCCATTTAACTTGGTACTTTTTACCTGACAAGGGTAGGATGGCCCAATGTCTAATTTCATGATATGGGTACAATTCAAGTATGGGTCATCAGAGTTGTATAAGGGTGTAGATATGAAAAGAGGAAAACATTTAACAAAACCCTAGTGAACCTGAGTTTCAGTAGTGGCTTTCTTACCAGTAGGATCATTGGTTTACATGACTTGAGTATTGTGATATTAAATTTCAATGTTAAATACTGGACAATATTTGTGATAGTGCAAAGTAACTGTATATCTAGAAACTTTATTTTTTTACAATAAAAGCTTTTTTTAGTATTTTATAAACTATTTTGCACAGCAGATTATTTGTACAATGAAGACCAAGGTCAGGAAATGCGAATAAAGGGAAGTTGTTTTACGTTGTATCATAATTGCTCAATGTGTTTCATCTCTTAATGAAAGATTTTCAATAACATCCATCTGTCCCAGGTATCTTTACAATGCTAATGGGGTTACCACTGCAAGAAGAGCTGCACTATAAAATAAGTGCAATCAATACACAAGTAGATTGTCTTGCATTTCAGTGAATTAGTGTAAAATATTGGCTAATTAATGGAATGAATAGACTTTTACAGGACAGAAACTTTGCTTAGAGGCCTTTTTCTGCTTTGGTGCTTTGAATGGTTATATTCATTTTCAGTATAGATCTGTTGCTGCATTTCAAACTGCTTGCTAAGGTCACGAGTTTTACTGGCCTAACTTTTTCCAACTCATCAAAAAACTTTAGTAGTGTGTTGTCAAGCTTTATGCTAAAACATTCCTTAGATACTGTAGTTTTTGAAATGAAAATATACTAACCTTTTTTCTGAAGTTCATTCGCAGGCTGGAAAGTCTGATTGAAGTACCACAGAGTTGATTGACATACCACTTATTTCCTGTAAGGAGGCTCAATGTTCACCACTAGCAAGACAGCTGTGAGTACTGGTATCTCTAGTATTATAAGACTGCAAGGGCTTCAGGGTTGCACATGCATGAAAAGTAGTCCAAAATTTATTTGGGACTACAAAATTGCATAAACCCCCCAAACATCTGGTTATATTTTTTTTTTTTGTTGTGAAAAGAAGCAGTTTGTAGGCCAAGCAGTAGATTTCAGTGTTTTGCAACAGCTAACAAGTTCTGGTATCACTGCTGTTTTAATAGCACTGCAGTTCCTCTGCTGACAAATTCGTGTTTGTGTAAAACTAATAGCTGGGACTGTCCAGCAATTTATATGTAAAGTCACATTTTCCTGGTGTTAAAAAATACGTTGTCACTTGTATCCCACTAAAGCACAAAAGTTCAAATCCATTATAATTGTCTAGTTCTTGGTAGAACAGGAATTAGTTTTGCTAGAGCAGGATTGTAGACCACAGGTGACTTACAGTCCACTGCCTGCATTCTGTGGAATTTTAGAGACTGGAAAATACAGATTTTTTCATGTTTTTAAAGTGCTCATCACTTCCCTCCCCCTCACGAATTCAAAACTAGCTGTTCAGTTTCTTATTGTGTTGGCATCACACATTGCAGTTTATTTCTTCCCTTCCTTTACTTTAAAGGTGCCTGCTCCTCCCAGTTTTTTAAGTGCTTTCAACCTGGATTGAAATGAATATTTCACTGCATTAACAGACCAGTTCAAAAAACCCCAAACAACCAACAAACAGATGCACTGGAGAGAAAATTGGGATTTTTTTTTTTCACCTTTCTTTTCTTGTCGTGCACATATATTAGGAAACTCTAAACATTTATATTTTTCCAGCCAGCGAGGTCAAAACAAAGAAGTTTTTGCAGTGCCTAATATAAAAGAGTGTGTAGGCTAACAACATAGTCCCACATAGGATTAAGCAAGGAATACTTTGTATGTTTGAACCCTGAGCTCTTCTCTTACTCGTTTTCTCTTGTGTGATTTGCTGGTGAACACTGCAGATCTTTGTGCAGATCGTCCACATGGTGTTCAACAAGCTGTGGGTTATGGTTCTGTCCCTGACCACGTGTGGTCATGCTCACTCTGCTCTCCTTGCACAAGTGCCTTAGGGAAAATGCTGGTATCTGCCAGTCACTAGCTCTGTAGCTTTCCCCTTGTCAGAAACTATTCTTAGATTTACTGACCCCAAGACAAAATAGAAATTTGATTCTGTTCCCATGAGGATTCTGTTGCTTGGAAAGAACAAATCTGCAATTTGTGAACCTCCTAACATTTTAGGTGCCTCTGGCTCTGCAATGGTTTTCCTTTCTTGATTGTATTTTGGTGGAGTCAGTACAGGATGTGTTAAAAACAGACCATGTTGTAACCTTTATGCTCTTCTAATGGAGTATGGGAGGCTTGTGTGCTTTACTTTGGAGGAATGTGTTATTGCTGAAGACTTTCCGGTGAAAATGGCATCCTGAGATGCTTGTAAGCATATGGATTAAATTGCTGGGTACCGAGTGCTTTGTGCTGAGAGGACAGCCCTGTTGCAGAAGGAATAATTTCTCCTGCCTGGCAGTGTGTCTTTCTGTGAGAGTGTTTCACACCAAAACCATGAAGGTTCTCACACCTGCTACCAGATTGTGAATACTGTTTGCAGTTTGGGGAGTTTGATAAAACACCGTGGTGCAATGTGGCATCTTTGAGAAGGAAGTGGAAAAAACACTGGTAGGAGCAAACAGTTCATCTGAGTTTGTGCAGCTGGAACCAGAAAAGGCAAGACTTGAAGCACTGGGCAGGAGCACTAGGAATGGTTATTTCTAACTGGCTTGAAGGAAAAGCTGAGCAAGAGAGAAAATTCAAGAGATGAGTAGATAGGTGGAGGCAGATGGAAGAGAATGAATTTTTGTGTGTGGAGTAAGAGGTTTTGGATTAAGCAGCCCCATCCCTGCAGCCACTTTGCAGTGAAAATATCGCTGCCTGACTGCAAAATGTATTTTCGTTTTTTGTTTCCAAAATCAAATATAGCATGTCATTTCAATTTAGAATTGTCTAGTGCTTTTCTCAGTAAGTCCTTGGTAGAAAATTAACTTGAAAGAGGATCTTCTTCTGTATCCTAAGAATTTCCTATGGCAACCATAGTGAAGGTCCATAATGAAGAGGATGTTTGAGTGTGAATAGTAAATATGGTCTGATGGTCCTAATACTGCCATAGAGCTGGCACAGTTGGAAAACAGCAGCTACCCTGTGACTTTGAAGAACAGGTGGAAACCGTGGCATAATTATTGAGCCAATAGTATTTCACAAGGAGCAGACACCCAGCCATGGCTATTGCTCATAAATATCCATAGCCAGCATGCTGAGGGGGGTGAATAAGCATCAGTCACTTGCTAGTAGCAGGCACTGCTGAAGTGCCATTATAATCGATGTAAATGCCATGCTATTTAAAAAAAAAAAACCACGTTAACCAACCTGGCATAGAAGGACTGCTAATTGTTATTTATTAGGATAGCTGTCCTGCACTTCAGAGCTGCTGTTCAGTTCATCTTGCAAACTTGAATCACTTTCGTTTACAGAAGATGTAGGTAACTGCTCAGGGTTTGGTTTGGGTTAGTTCAGTGCAGAGATCTCTCTGGCCTTTGACTCCTGCACAATATAAAAAAAATAAATTATAGTAACGTTTAAACTTGTGAAGATGTTACTGTGGGGTTTGGATGATTTAAGGGCATTAAACCTGTACAAAATGTAACCTGCCATTTTTACGTGGGTATGTTTTCTGTGTGTACATAGGAAAATGATACATCATATAATTCAGTCTAAGTTCAAATAACTCTCCCTCCAAAAAAAATCCTCTGCTTATCTTGAGACTTACACTCTAGTTGAGTTAGAACTGAAAATAACAACTTGTTTAAGGAAGGAGAACTTCACTAGGAAGGACTTACCACTTGTTTTATTACCTGTTGCTATTGAGCACGTATAGTGGTTTTGTGGTCTGAGATTTTATCTGCATTCTCTCGTAGTCTTTTTAAACCTGGCCCACTAGATGTTTTACAGATTATTGAATTCAAAGATTGGGCTTTAGAACAGAGCATCTGTGCTTTGTTTTCATGTCTTCTTCAGCAAATCCAAATAGACTTAAAACTCCTGTTGATAATTTTATAGGGAAGTAATTGCTACACATGAAATCTTCCCAAAACATCTAAGTGGCATATACAAGAGCAAGCCAAATTTAAGACAAAAATCGGTGTGAAGCAAGTGGAACTGGCCCCATAGGCCATTTGCTTCTGGAATCCACTTTTTTCTTTCCTTGTATTGTCTTCCCCACCGTGGGTAGCTCCATTCATACGTGGACAGCTGCATTCAATTCTTGCTGCTCACTTCATGCCACTTACCCACCCCTCATAATCCAGACCAGAGGTTAACATATTCAAGCTCAGTGCGGAAAAATGTAGAGGCATATAGGTAAATGGAGTCCCACATGGTTGTGAAACTCTGTAAAAGTCTCCAGTCTCCGTGTTTTGGGAGGGTGTGCTGGGATTTTGGATATTTAGCTTTCTTGCTAAGGAGCTTGTTTGAGAAGTGATGCGTAAACCAAACACGACAAGAAATGTAGTAGCCCTGCTCGAATGGAAGACTTAATAGAAAGCAAGCAAACGTGAGCTTTATAGGCAGATTTGAAGGAGGAAAATGTGATAGCTTGGGAAATGTCTTCTAGTGACAAGTGAAGGGCCTTAGATGCAGCTATTTTGTAATTCAGTATGCTAATGACTTCAGAGTGACCTGTGCTCCACTGTGCTGCAAATAGATTTCTTTGTATTGGTACACACAGGCTTGTGCTTTCTGGTCCATAGCCTTATTCATTAATCCTTACTGACATCTATTATTGAATTTGCCTTCTCTAAACAGTTGGTTTCTATCTCTGCTATTAAATCCCCATGCTAGAAAACAGAATAAAAATTACCCATAAAACAGAGTCTGGTGAAGACACAAGCTAGTGACTCAAGACATTCTTTTTTCTAAAAACAGTACCCCTACTGTTTAAATATAATTTTTTTTTTTTTTTAGTAGTTGATATTCACATGTGTGTTCAGATCTGACAACAGTTTTGTTCTCTCGGTGAGGGAATTTTTCCTGGAAGGTTACAAAAGCCCATTAATACAACTGCACAATGCAGTGCTGAGGAGCGTGCATGCATGAACTACAAGTCTGCCAGCTTTTTGTGAAGCTCTGCAGGGGGCAGTATACTGAAATAAAGCCTTTCAGGCCCTTTTAATGTAGTTCTGACCTTCCACTCTATATTAAACAGATGACTGGAACCAGAAAGATAGGTCATTGTGATTGCAGTTAATATTTGTAAGGACCAAAGCAGCTCTCAGCCTTTGAGGTAGAAGGGAATCATCTTAAGTGTGAAAATGTATCATCACAAGAATGGAGAGGATCAAAGGAAGGCCAGCTGGTGCTCGGACATCTTTTCATAACCTTTATTACAATGCTAGAATACACTAACCTCAATGGGAAGTCCATTCAGTTCATGTATTTCAAATAGATAATCTGTATTCTGGTGAAACAAAGAAAGCTAAAAAAGCCCCTTCTAAAAAGGGGGTGGTCGACACAAATTTGCCTATGATTTAATCATATTGGTTTTCTAAAGTCAGCTTAGCTTTTTCAATGCAAATATGTATGACATGCTTATTTGGGAAGTGGCTGAAAATTTGTAAATTGAGGTACAAAGAGTTCGAGCTGATTTTACTGTGTTCTATTTCCACTTCAGAATAAAGGCCCTCTGCATTTTCAGTTGCTGTGCACAAAAAGTAAGGCCCAGTATTTCATGGAAAAACTATACAGAACAGACATAAGCATTAAGTCATCCAGGAGGTGTGTATACGTGGAGTCACACAAAGACCTAGATTAAGGCTGACTAGTTTTGACAGACACCAAAATTTAAGCTTGGGCTTCCAAGGAACATCATACACTGTAAGTATATATGGAATTAGCAATATCAAAGCAGAAAACCAACAAAGACTGCTGTTAAGGGGTGGGCTGTTACAGTGAAGTCCTGTCCCCACTAGATTTGTGCTCAATGCATAGGGAAAAGCAGTGGGACTGTAGGTATAGAAAAGAGGTGAGCACTTTTGTCATGGTATTTTTTAGATGGAGAATGCTGGAGCTCACTAGAACATCAGTGTTCAAACTCAAGTGTTGAATGGTTTAGTTATTACTTTCAGATTTGGATTTCAATCAGTCGCTTTGTGAATTTGTTCTGTGGATCCAGAATGGGGTAAGCATCCCTTCTACTTGTGGAACAGGGACTTACTTCCAACTGCAATGTTTTCTCTAAAACTTGACAGCTGTGTCAGAATTGCATTATTTATGACGTTTGGACTTGACAGGAAATTCAGCACTCAGTCTCTTAATACTTCAAAACACCAAACAGACAAAAGAATATTGCTTTTTCTTACCCAGAAAGTGACGGCAGACACTCATCACATCAGCTGAGTAATGACTGCAGCCTGTGAAACAGGTCTGAGGGGCGCAGGAGTTCTGACAGCTTCAGCAGATGCAACAGCTTCGTTTCAGTTCAAAAGTCGTTAAAATAATTCCTAAATGCTGAAACTCAGAAGAAAAGGTATTTAATTTATTTTTCTCCAAGTAATTTGCATGTCAAATCTCTCTCCCTCTCTCACATGTACTCTTTCCCTCTCTCTCCCATCGGTGATGTCTCTCTCAGCAGCTGTCTACTCATGAATCACTCCTGTCATCTGAAGCATATTTTTAACACTTCTGGACGTGCTCTAAAAGCAAATGCTGTTAAGCAAACAATTTGCACTGCTTTTCCCTACACTCTCTTCACTTCCCCAAATCTTTCATCATCATGATTTTAAAAGCTGGGTCACAGGGGAACCAGGTAGTGGAAAATACAGCCTTTTGTATTTGTGAGAGTATCATAATGTTACATCAAGTTCTCATGTAATGCAGATCTGTCTGACTTGCAGGAGACTTGAAGTTGCCTGAAGCTTGAGAATTTCACTTCGTTAAGATTCATATGAATGTTGCCTTTGGTTTCACTCATTGTAGTCTGCACCTTCTCAAGCTCAAACTTCAGTTTGAGTTTAGGAATGGAGCACACAAAAAGAAAATCACTGTCAAAGCTTAGTTCAGCTACTGTTACGGTAAAGTAGATTAGATTATGCCATGTTTGCCTCAGAGCGGTTACTTGACAGTGGAGAACGTAATCATGGAGCCTGATAAATTATTTGCCTTCTAGTAATGAGTTTCAAGGCTACCAGAAAAAGGACATTGACCAAAAAAGTTTTGATATTTTCTGCTTTTCTCATCTCTTCTTTGGCAGATGAGGCCAAAGGCCCCCCCTTCACTGGGGCCTTAGGTACCCAAGGATCTTCGCTAGGTGCCTGGAAGGCCTTTGGAATCATCCAGTAACAACTCAGATAGGAAGAAAAGTGTATTTTGTTCTTCTCCCACTGGCTAGTAAGTGTCTTTTCTGGTAATTCAAATATTTGTCAGGATAACAAGTTGTTGAGCTCCGGATCCAAATGATTACATTGGCACGTGGGGAAAAGAGGAATCCTGATTGTACCCAGCTGGAAAGAACTTTCTCTTTCCAAATAAAATGCAGCTTTTAAATACCTAGGACCCAAGTTAGTTTTGATTTTGTCGAAGTCCAGAAGTGATAACCCTACAGGATGCTTTTGACTAAAGTCAAGTGTTATACAAAAAGTATTTATGAGGCACGCACTTCCACTTTGTGCTTGCATCTGGAACTTCTGGGTTTTTTCTTGTTGCTTTGATGTCAAATCCCTTTGTATTTCTTAAGTGCTTAGAAGAACCCTAGTGTGACAAAATACTAATAATGAAAGTCTAGAACATAAAATGGTATTGTGTAATGTGTTTCTGGTAAGGAGTGCTCCCATATGTGGACTGCAATGTGGAATCATCAGAGTTATCACTTCTGAAAGTTTTGTGTTAAACAAGGAAGCTTTGTCAACCACCATTAATATCACCACTATTCAGCAGCTTAATTATAAGATCTGTGCTATTTGCTGTTCTCAAAAGTTCTTCCCTCTGAAGATGTGATTAGGCAAAACCTACCATTAAAAGGGCTTAGCCCTTGGTATTACAAGAAAATTCTGACATTGTAAGTGCCTAGAAATCAGAAGACGAAAAGCATTTCAAAATATTTGTTGCCATTATTTGTAAGTCACATTCATGATGCTTTAGGATATAGCCACATGGTTTTCGATTGTGTGGTTTGTATCAAGTAATAGGTTCCTTCATCTTTCCCTTATTCCTCCATCAGTTTAGGTTAAGCAGTTTATTTTCTCCGGTAAATCTCGTTGGCCAAATGTCTCTCTGCTGCACCATCAGGAGCAGGTCGGCTTCAGCGTAACTGGCGGTGTCTCCACCGGGTGGCAGTGAAAGCCCGAGTTACCGAGGGGATGGGCCCAGCGGTCGAGCTGCTCCTCTGCGGCTCTTGAGGAGTCTGCTGTTCAGCCTGGAGAACCTTCTCACTGCACCTCCCAGGTAATCAGACAGCGCTTCATCAGCAGTGATAAACCTCATTCCTTTATGTTAGGAAGCGATAATGTGTTAACTGATTTGCTATCCATACCTTTAACAAACTGCAAGGAAATAATTTTTCTTACCCTAAGAATGCCTTCTGAACAGAGCTGGAGATGTGCCACCCACAGCCAGAATATATCTCTGCTTCTGTCTTGTGGGCATTGTGACATGTGATATAAATATCATTAGTTTTATAATATCCTTTATCACCATGTGTTTAGTGAACATGTGCTCCTGCCTTATGCCTTAATGCTTTACAACTGTTCTCTTGCTGCAGGTGGTTACACAAAGTGTATCCTCCTGAAATGGTCCCTTGGGAAACGCTTTGACTCCACGGCAGAGCTCTGGGGACCTCTTATTGTTTCCTTGATACTATTTTTAAAGAAGCCCTTGATTGCTTCTTTCACTTAACCTGAAAGGATGCTCGGCACACTAAGTTGTTTTAACACTACTTTATTTTGAACTTACTGGTAACCACCTTTGCCATTCTTCAATTACGTGATATCCACCTGCCAACTCACCTATTAATTTAGGAAATTATTCCCTACTAATTCTCCCTGCAGAACAAATGTCTTGGCTTCTACTTCTGGCAGGGATCTGAAAGTATTGCACAGCTGCACATATTCAAACTGAAAGGGCAGGGATCAGAGAAACAAGTCAAAGCATAAATACTGAGAAGCTGTCTGTGTTCAGAATAATTGAGTGTTTGGAAATTGCAAAATTGAAGGTGCTTAGCTGTACCCTCCTTAAAATGGGAGGAAAATGTGTCAAAAATCAAGAAAAAAACCCTCAAAGTGGTTCCTTTAAGAGTAAGCAAACAGTCTAGTTAAAAATGCACAAACCTAAAATCTAATATTAAAGTGAAAAGTATGGATTTTGGTCATTATATGTAATTTCCAAGGTTGTCTTGCTATGGATTTGCAATATTTGGCTTTGTGATTTTGGCTGTGAAGGTTAGTAACGGATGAAGATCAAACACTGCGATTGGTTTTAAACCTACTTACGGGTCTGGCAGCACTAAAGGTAGCTATAAAGTGTTATGGGTCGAATAGTGGGACTTTGTCAGTACTTTACAACCCAACTACATTTCACTGCTTTACTGTTTGTGGTGTGGGCTGTTATCGCTGTAACTGGTGTTGCCGTGTTGTAACTACCTGTGTCACTGCCAGAAAAACAGCAGATCGCCTCAACTGAAACAGGACAAACACCTCCCTCTCGCTTCAACAGGGACTTTACTGCTATAGCGTTTTCAACTCTGTCTAGTAGTATTTTTCCAAGTGAATTTTAGCTAAATTTAAATGTGTTTATTTATGTGTTAGTTACTCTTTGAAAGCATATTGCTTTCCGTGTTTCCTGAGGGCGCAGCAGCTGATAACCACAAGTACTATGCTTATTTTAAGTATTTTAAGTACTCAGCTCTACCAGAACCACCAATTGCTTTACTAGTAGGCAGGTTTGTAATAGAGATCTGCTAAAATACTGTTCCCTGAAAGCATCCTAAACCAACTTGAATAAATTATTTTGTAGAAAACAATTACAATATTTTTAATATTTCAGTACCAGTAGTGTCTCGGTAACTGGATTTTCTTTAAGTAAACTAAATGAGTTTTCTACATTGGACAAGGATGTTAAGGATAGTCAGGCTGTTAGACTTGTAAAAGCACCCAGGTGTCTCGAAAAGATGCCCACCTGTACCTCTCTATATGCAGGTACTCACAGACGTACGTAAAAATGTCTTTAAAAGTTGGCCTTCAGTTTCCAGCAGAGCTGGACATTGGTGTGTTTTAAAGTTTGCGTATACAATGTATGGTTAGACTATTGAAGAAACATGTTAACCATATTTGCTGTCCATTTGTACTCAACATCATTGAGTATGCTTGACATAAGTGTAATTTTTCCCAAATGGGAGGGGGTATAAGCTCCAGGATGAGCTGTCAGGGCGAGATGTGTTTATACAAATGGAACTGCCATTGCACTATGGTGTTCTGTGGGCATGATGATACTGGTTTTTAAAAAAAAAAATCATGGCTCAAACTGACATAGTTGTAGCCCAAGCAAAAATCATGTTTTGAACAGGCTTAAACTTTCTCTGAAATTCCACGAGTTAATACGATGATTGTCTTGAATAACCTTTGAATAAGAAAGTAATTAAAAGCCTCTACAAATCAAGATCACAACTTTTCCCCAAAAGCAAATATTAGAGACTTAGACTTACTGAAGCTCAATATGATCCAGTGTAAGAAAAAATGTCTTATATGGATTAAAAGTTATTCTCCTGCAATGGGGAGGAGGCAACCAGTCCCTGCTGCTGCTACTTCTAGAATGTTTTATCACATCCGTAGCTGCCCAGTGGGACTAGATCAGCAGAACAGGCAGGATAGCTCTTGAATGGCCAGTGTCCTCCTTTAGTAAAAGTCATAGAGGCTTCCTTGCCTTTGAGTATTTCCTTTTGCAGCACTCCTTTTTGACTTTCTACTAGTCAGCATCTATGTACGATAACTGGAGACAGATGAAAACAAGAACAGCCTACTGGGAAACGACAATAATATCCCTCTGCTCCTCTCTGTGTCCAGTGAGCTGTTGCTTCATGGTCTTAGGACTATCTGCAAATTATTTTTTTCATTAAGAGCCAGTTGGATCGAATCCAGCTGAGCAAAATGCAGTTAGGCAGTTGGGAGGTAATACCATACACCACTTTGGATGCCTTTGTAGGGATTATAACCTGGAGATTGTCACTAAACTGCTACTGTGAATTAGGCTTGGCCATCCCAACGCTCTTGAAAAATTGTCCTTTTCTGTCTCGCAGGCCTCAGGCCTGATTTGCTTTTCCTTTGGAATTCAGCTTTATCTATAATGGGAAATGGAGCAGGGAATTGTTAGTTCATCCTTGTCCAGTGCTTTGAAGATGTAAAGTATTTTTGGAAGCTGCTTGGTACAGTTGCTCATATTCTCCTCAGGCAAAGGAATCTAACATTTGCTCTCCACAGCCTGCCCTTAGCCAAGCGTTCAAGGAGCTCTCGCTCCCCGTCTGTTCCCACAAGGCAACTGGATTTCTTTGCTGCCAGTTCTGATTGAAGGGTGATTCAAGAACCCAATTTATGGAGAGTCCTGAATGTGTTTGGAAATTTCCTCAGCTGCTGTACTTAAATGCTCAGTGGGAGCCCTGCCTTTCTGCAATTGTTCCTCGTTTGTCATTTTTATTTTCTATTTTCACTGCGTTTTCATTTTGACTATATGGGTTTTTTTTCAAATGTGCATCATGTTTAGAGATTTGATTTATTTAAAATTCATAAGTGCTGGGTTTAGATTTCTTAGCGTCTAGGGTGCTTAATGCTCTCAGTTGCAGTTTCCTAAAGTAATATAAAATAAGTAATTCAAATGTAGTGGTGACAATGCTGCATATTTTACAGCATGCAAGTAGGGTTGGTTTTTTTTAAGTTCTTAGCTCTCTTGCTGTGAAATACCAGTAATCCCTGTGCAAGTCAACATCTGTGCTGTCTGGGTGTAGCTGGTCTTGATTCTCATTTTTTTCAGCTAGGAAGTAGAGCAGGAATTATTCCTGTGGCAACCAGATCCTGCAGGGTTAATACTATTTCTTTGAAGTTCCTACCGGTACCGCTTGCTACATCTTTTTGTCACCTTCTCTTGCACAGATTGTCAGTTTAAAGCAATGCAAAATGGGTTACCAGGATAGGAAAAACTCTGCCGTTTTAAAGCCGTGATACAGCTCTAATCTTACAAATGAGTGTGATACGCAGCGCGTGTAATCTGTGAATGAGGTCTTGCTTTTACGGATCTTAGTAACAGGCAAGACTTGCATGTGTAAAATCCTTTCCATCCAGGATATAAAACTAATATTATATGTTAATAGCAATAATAGCAATTTTTAAGTCAAGACTACACTTCTGATACTAGTTCATTAGTTACACAGTTTTGCTTAATTTGTTGATATATTCTGTGTGGGAATGGTTCAAAGCTGCACCAGGCATTCGTTGATATATTCTATTTTGTGTGGGAATGGTTCAAAGCTGCACCAGGGGAGATTTACACCGGATTTTACGAAAAATTTCTTTACTGAGAGGGGGGTCCAACCCTGGAAGAGGCTTCCTAGAGAGGTTGTCCATGCCTCAACCCTGTCAGTGTTTAAGAGGCATTTGGCGGAAAAATTTCTTTACAGAGAGGGGGGTCAAACCCTGGAAGAGGCCTCTAGAGAGGTTGTCCATGCCTCAACACTGTCAGTGTTTAAGAGGCATTTGGCCAGTGACCTTAACAACATGCTTTAACTTTTGGTCAGCCCTGAACTGGTCAGGCAGTTGGACTCGATGATCATTCCGGGTCTCTTCCACCTGAAACTATTCTATTCACTTCATTTCCTTGCTCCATCCACCCAGAAAAATATGAATATAATAGTAAGCATAGTACCTTGCTGTTTGGAGTTCTCTATTTTTCAGTGTACCGTATCCCACCCAGAAAAATATGACTATAATAGAAAGCATAGTACCTTGCTGTTTAGTAACCTCTGTTTGGAGTTCTCTATTTTTCAGTGTACCGTATTTAAAGCTTTATAAAAAAAAATTAATTACTTACAGTGGAGAGCTGCTGCAGTCTGGGCACCTAATTCTAACAATTCATTACTTCCTAAAAGGAGTAATTCATCCTTTCAGTGAAGGTAGCTGGCTCATTCATGACTTGCTTTGCAGGTTCACTCTTATTTTTCACTTGTTAGTCATCTAGAGCAAGCAGATTTTTTGTACCTCCCCCTCTCTTTGTCTTTTGACATTTAGTTATCTTTGTAAATAACAAGCATATTTAGGAGCCAGAAAACAACATATTTGAAAACTGCCATAGTCAATAAATAAAATCCCTACAGATTTAGGCTCCTCTCTTGTTTGGCTGCTTCGGAAAACTTTTCCCATTATGCTGCATCCTTTTCCATTCATTTCAGCATTTCTCCTCATCATATATTTAAATATGAAACAACTTTTTAAAGTGTTGACCTAAATCATCAAAAGTGATCATGAATTTCCCATGTTTCAGATTTGAAATGCTCAAATGAAGAGTGGATCTTGGCTAGCTGGCTCCCTTCCCTTTGCCTTCTTGAAGCCTTTCAGTTTCCCTGCTGAAGATTGAGATGCCAAAAGCAGCAAGTAATTCTGGGGTGATTTCAGTCAGTGGATATTGAAGTGAAAGTGAAATCTTCTTACAATTCTATCACAAGTACAAATTGAATGAAAAAGCACAGACACAAAGATACAGAGGTTTGAATTTCTGTGTACATTAGGAAATGCCAGATTGCTCTTTATTTCATCTGGAGAAGTTCTGCTTGCAAACTGAAACACAGCAAGATCATGTGCAAAAACTTAAATGACAGGTTTTGAAAAACTGCCCCATTAACCTGATGAGTATCTAATTACAGTAAGATGCAAAAGCTTTTTTTCCCCGTGCTATGTAGGATTTTGTCCTAACAGGTTTTTTTTAAAGCTACCCTGCTGTTAAAATAATTTAACTGCAGTGTTTGAGTATAATTTGTCCTATATTTCTTTTTGCTTTCTCTGAGGAGTTACATAACTTTTTCCATTTCTAATGAGTTTTCCTAAATATAAATTGTGATGTTATATTACGCACCTCCTTTGGCTCTAAACCAATTAATTTGAAGTGGTTCAAGGCCAAAGAGAAGTCTAGGATCGCATCCTAGTGCAGGGTTTGTTTATGCACTTTTTGTTTTAACTAAATGGTTCCGGGGTTAAGTCAATCTTCTGTTGAAATTGATCCTATCCCTTAAATTCATGTAATACTCTGAATTAATAGAGGATCATTTGGATAGCTGCATGACCTTGTGTTACTCACACGCTGTTTAAAATCCATTTGTATAATAGCCAAAACATTATTGTGCTTTCCTAAATCATGTAACTTTGGCCATTTAAATGACTGTTTAAATCATAAGCAGGATTAACCTGGGAAGAGATCAGTAAAAGATCAACCTCGCTTTACCCCTAAAGCGGTGCTTCTTTGCCTTTAAGTACATCCCATCGCTGCTGTCTGCCCAAATCCCTCTGCCAGAGCTCTGCCTCCTCCTCATCAGGCCTTTCTGCCCCAGCTTAGCAAAGTGGTGGCTCTGGTGGCTGGGACTATGGAGAGCATCTCATTTGTCTGGGACTATGGAGAGCATCTCATTTGTCTGCGCTGCCTCTCCCTCTCTCCCCCGCTGTATTTTGGCAGCTTCACTGAGGGATGAATCTGCAGGTCTGGAGCTGGTGTGAGGGGGTGAGGTACACAATCTGCTGGGCAGCTCAGCTTCTCCTCCTGCTGCATCCCCAAGCTCAGAGCAACCCCTCTGGCTTTTATTGTGCTGTATTTCATGGGGGTGTATCACTCGTGTGTGCTTCACCATTTCAGAAATCCTGCTCTTGAGAATCTGAGTGCCTAGAACTTCTACTTTCTTAGTGTTAATTTCAATGTGTGGATTATTTTCCTTCTGAAAAACCTTATTTTGAGGTCTGCATATGAATTCAGGGTGATTAACGTTAGGAAGCCAGGCTTGAAGAATTGTTTGATGTTTTAAAGGCTTTCACAGCTTTCCAGTGACCATTTCTCAATTTTCCCCAGTCAAAAAAGAATTCAGTCTCTTCCTTTTTAGTGATTTTGGAAATAACAGAAATGTGTTCTTCAATATCAATACTTTTATTTCCATTCAACAATTGTACAGATCTGACAGTAAGTGGTAGTAACTGAAAATGATGATTTTTTCCTATTGCTGTTTTCTGTCATCAGCAAAGTATCACTTTTGTTCACACATAGGTTCACTATCCATTTATCCATTTTGGCATGAATGTAGCAATTCTAGAGTTGTTCATGCATAAGCCGATGGCGTATACAAGTCAGAGAATAAAATCCTGAAGAGGGAGTTCAGTTTTAGCTTCATTGCTGACCTGGTGGGGCTTTACTGGGCAGAGAGAGAGGGACTAAAGGGGCTATGTAAACCTTGGCACTCTCTGGTGAGGGGAACTCCTGGCTGTGTCATGGGCTGGTGGCCACGTGGCTGGCTCTGCCTGCCTGACTTTGCCACGTGTTTCCTGCATCTCCTTTGGTACATCACTTAATCTGCGTTTCCCTGTTGCTGACTAAGAGTTTAATATAATTGATGAAGATTATTGGCTTGTTAAAATGGACTAGTGGTTTGTGAGCATTTAAATGTGGAGCACCTCTCCTATGAGGACAGGCTGAGAGAGTTGGGGTTGTTCGGTCTGGAGAAGAGAAGGCTCCAGGGAGACCTTTTAACAGCCTTCCAGTACCTGAAGGGGAGCTACTGGAGAAATGGGGAGGGACTCTTTATCAGGGAGCGTAGCAATAGGACGAGGGGTAATGGTTTTAAATTGAAAGAGAAGAGATTTAGATTAGATATTACGAAGAAATTTTTTACCGTGAGGGTGGTGAGACACTGGAACAGGTTGCCCAGAGAAGCTGTGGCTGCCCCATCCCTGGAGGTGTTCAAGGCCAGGCTGGATGGGGCTTTGGGCAACCTGGTCTGGTGGGAGGTGTCCCTGCCCATGGCAGGGGGGTTGGAACTAGATGATTTTTAAGGTCTCTTTGAACTCTAACCATTCTATGATTCTATGAAATGAGAACGCTATTCTTCCTCTGGCATTTGTAACTAACCTCAGATATCAAAGGGATGGACCACCTGATGCTTTAGGGTAAATAAACTGCTGGGACAACTGACAAACAACAATAGGTCGCGCTGCTTTACTTGCAGCAGAGTTTGTCCCTTTTCACGAATGCTTATGTTGCAGAAGCAGTTGCTGCATTGCACTGCATCAGCACTGTTCCTAATCCTGATTTGGAAACATCAACTGTTAACTTGACAAAGCGTGACACATGGTACGTTGAAGTGTTTTCAGCTGCACTAACACAACAAATTGTAATGGCTCCAGAAGAGCCATTTCAGTTGATTGTGTCAATAAACTACAACCCACAAAGAAAAAGACACGTGGCCAACCTGAAAAAAGCATCATCAAATCACAAATAATATGTTAACAGTCACAATTTTTATCCTCATTTTTAGAAAAAGTATTTTGCGAGAAAAAAGCCCTGTAATTTCTAGAGCTTTTTGCCTGTGATGAATCAGAAGTCCAGCCCTATGGCACTTCCCAGTTTACAGTATTTCCTTCATTTCCATATGTAGACGGTGTGTGACTTTATTCTTCATGCTTCTGCCACAAAATGAGGACTTGGCATGTGTTCTCGGTTTAGGTCAAAACGCAGGCTGTCCCATGGAGTTGATCTTTCCCCAGCTCTTGTGAGACACAGGCCTACTGTTATTTAAAGACAACTTCCGTACCATTTCCTGGACCAAGTGCCAGCAGACACAAGGTTAGCACTGCTCCCTATTTTTTTCTTCCATTACTTACTTCAGTAGGAAGAACTACATCTGCTTGATGGTAGTGCAAATTTTCTGCTTTCATAGTTAGGCTGACGGTAGAGGCAGTGAATTCTAACCTCCCTGAGACCATTAAGGTTTCAGAGTAAGTAAATCAGGGTACAATCTGACTTAATGAGACGAGCCGCTAGGCCATCAGTTCTGTGGGCTGCCTGCTTTTGCTGTTGCCCGTGTGCCAGTCAAAACCCAGGAGGAGCTATCGTGTGTCCTCAGAGACCACTAACATTAGGTAAGGATTGCTGGCCATGACACTTAAGTGTCTCAGCAAGGATGTGCGTTATTTGTTAAGCAGCTGGAATGTGAGTTACTCTGTAGCACATGCAGAGGAGGACAGGCCTTTCCCCAAATTTACGACCCCCTGAACAACCGTAGCAAAATGACCTACAGCAGGAGCCCCGGAGGAAAGGGGTTTGCTAGTTCTGAAGACACATTTCAAATATTCTTTATGTTAATATATACCTTTTTGCATCCTTAAGGCTGCAACTTCTGACTAGGAAGCAAGCCAGTTTTCCTACTAAGTTACCTCATTCTTCTAAAACCATCAGTAGCAAACTATAGTTGGTTATTTGAGATCAGAAATGAAATCCTCTTAGCTGCTCATTTCACATACCTGGTAAATAAAGACACTTATTAGTCACAGATATATTTGTGTGTATGTATATGCACACACAAACACATATTTTTTTCTGTTACATCATAGTATATGGGGTGAAATGCACTTACAATGAAAAACGGTAAGCCCAAGTATTTGTAGTAGCAGGGACTGGCAACAGTGCAGTATCTAGTTGCTTAACAAAAATGCCATGTAAGGATTTTTCTGTAAAACTAGAGAACTGGCTAAGACTATGCCTAATTAGCGTAATTTCATAAAAGGCAGATTACCATTAAAGAAACACACAGCACTGAAGAGAAGAATAACTTACACCATGTATAGGCTATCCAAAATTCTCTTTTTCTCTACAAGAGACACAGAAACAGAGTACCCTGTGAATATGCTCAAATAACTGAAAAAAAGGCCTCACCAGTCAACTGGGGAATTTACATCCATTCGTCTTAACCCAATACTGACACCTCCTCAGGCACACACTTAATAGAGAATTGCCCATTGCTTTTGACCATCTCCAGCCAACAGGAGGGCTCAAATATAAAATCACAGAAGCTGGAGATGAAAGGACCCAGACAGTCAATTTGTTAAGCCATTTGCTGTGTTACTGTGGCTCCCCATAGCATACTGTCAAATATACTTCTGATTATCATTTGGACTTTTGATGTCATTTGGATTCTGAATGACTTTGGCTTCACATACGAATGGATGGATTACACTCATCCACCGTGGGTTATTCATCTGTTCTGTTCAAAAACACTTACTTGGAAGAAAAGGGTATTGCCAAAGTTAAATAATTAAAGTGCTGCTTGTTTTCTGAGAAACCCCTTCACTTCCACTTAGAGGTACAATTTTCTATATAAAACGAATAACATTTTTTTTCTCCTTAACACATCCAAGTATGATTTATGAAACGTTACTCAAGTAAGACAAGCTTATTTTACACTTTATTTACTCAGAACAGAACACTGATGGGAGAAATAAATGAGATAGACAAGATGATCCATAGTCAGAGACATGACTTGCTTTATGCCACAGCCAAGAAGGGGATCTGGGCTTCGAGCATTACAGACCATTGACCTTGGGAAAAAAAAAAAGAGATTAAATGCATTTTGGATTGGACAACTGGAACAAGCCACGTAAGAAATGAGGATGTATTGAGAGCTAATGACTGAACGCCAGCCGTATCTGCCAGACACATGGGCCAAGATGCTCTGAACATGGAAGGCTGCAAAAATAAAGCATCGAGAGGTACGTAAATGCTGCTGCCGTATAATTCTCAGAGGTAAATTCACTATTTCAGAGTCCTCCTCTTCTCTATTCGGTATGATCTTCAACAACAACAAAATCAGAACTGCTTGCTCCAGTAATTGAGAGGCACAACACTCAATGCCTACTTTGAAAATGTTTTGTTCTGTATTTGAAGTAAGCTACTTCACGAGAATGTTTTAAAAATAAGTATTAGCCCGCTGATCATTCACGTCTTCCAGTATGTTTGTTTGGCTGCTGCAAAGGTAGTTATCCAGCCAGCAGTTTAACTAATTAAGTCATACTTCCCAGAACTGCGCTGACAACACGAGCACTATCAATGGCGTTTATGACAAAAAAACCAAAGCCAATGAAGAAAAATCCATTGTTCTGTGCCCTCTGAGAAAAGAAGGAGAAAAAAAAAAATCAATGATTTGCCAAAGAGAAAAAAAAAAAAGAAGAGATTACAGGAACCAGAGCATCTTTCTTTAAGAGACCAACGACAACAACAAAATCATATTACCATTTTAAACTGTGAGATTGAGTTTATAGCAATGGCATTTTATAAGCAATGGGATCATTCTGTAAGAGACCAACAAAAAAAAAAATCGCATTACCATTGCAAACTGTGAGATTGAGATTTATTTTTATAGCAATGGGATGTTAAACAGTCTTGAGGACATTTTTTTTCCCATTAAGTCTGTACCAGATTTCAGTGAGATTCTCCTATGTGGAGTGAAATCAGGATTCCAGTGAAGCCAACCGGACTTTTCCCCAGTGACTGCAACTGAACCCAGATCTCATTTCCAGGCTTAACACCCACTGAAGAGCTTGCTCAAGAGTGAAAAAAGGATGTAGATGGCTAACATGAGTTTCAGACAAATTAAAATTCTTAATGTTAAGAGCAACACTCAAAAAATAAGGGTTTTTTTTGAGATTTGAAAAAAAAAAACTGAAAAACAAAGAAAACCACAAACCAAACAGCTCTGTGCTCTGCACAGAAAAGCCAAAATTCCCATTATTAAAGGCGTGAAATTCTGAATTGTATTTGGCAGGGCTCGCAGCTGAACAGTCTCTGCCGCTCTCCATCTACACACATCATGACCTTGTCCTCTTCGGAACCAGCCCCAATTCAGCCACCGATGACCGGCGTCTGGAGCTTCTAAACGCAAAGCAGGAATGCCACGTCTGTAACGAACCAGTTCCCAGGGCAAGAGCAGCCGCCACCAGTGGGGTCTGACTCCCACCTGCAGCCCATGTGTCCCTCAGCGCCCTTCAGTGCTCCTGCAGAGGGACGGCCAAGCGCAAGCAAACCTTCTGCCCTGCCTCTTGTGCCACCAGGAAAACCCTGTTGGAGCGGTGGAATAAACGAACGCAGTGGTGCTCTTTTCCTGAGAGCAGGAAAATTTGACATAAGAATGGAAGTCGCTTCCCAGTCCCTGACTGTGATCTCATTTTGGAGACTTTTGCGGTATTTTGCCCGTAATTTAGAATCATAGAATGGTTTGGGTTGGAAGGGACCTCAAAGATCATCTAGTTCCAAGCCCCCTGCCATGGGCAGGGACACCTCCTACTAGAGCAGGTTGCTCAAGGCCACATCCAGCCTGGCCTTGAACACTTCCAGGGATGCGGCACCCACAGCTTCTCTGGGCAACCTGTTCCAGTGTCTCACCACCCTCATAGTAAAAAATTTCTTTCTGATATCTAATCTGAATCTTTTTTCTTCCAATTTAAAACCGCTCGCTCGGCGCTCGCTCAGAGCAGAGAAAGGAGAAGAGGGGGCTGCTGATGCTGTCGCCCGTGAGGAGCGGCTGGTGGGGCCTGAGGTACACACACACACACACCCACACACACACACACCGGCTGCGGGCCCAGCGCCCGCCCCGTCCCCCCGCAGCCCCCGCTCACCTGTTGCACCCCCCTCCGCGCTTCTTCCCCCCTCCCGCGGGGAGCCCACGCACCCCCCGGGGCACCGCAGGGGCGGGCGGGCTGCCTCGGCCTGCGGGAGGCTGCGGAGTGAAGGGGAATCACTTTTTTATTTATCAAGACAGACAAGAGGGTAAGATGTCCTCTCCCCCTGGGGCTGCAATACGCGGGTACCTTGAAGCCACAAGACCGCCGGTTCCCATATTCCCCCTTTTTCCCCCCCCCAACCCTTTGCGGAGGGGACACCCGGCCTCGGCGGCCCTTCCCTGCAGGCACGGCTGGAGGTGAGGGGGGGAAACAGACGGGCGAAGGACGAAGCCAACGGACCGGCGATAAACCCCCCCGGCGGGAAGGCGAGGCCGGGCCCCCTCACGCAGCGCCGTTTCCCCGCCCTGAGGCACCGCGGCCGAACCCCGCTGCGGGCCGGGAGACACCCCCCCCCCCCCCCCCCCCCCCCCCCCCCCCCCCCTGTTGGGCGCCCCCCCCCCCCCCCCCCCCCCCCCCCCCCCCCCACCCCTCCCCCCCCCCCCTGCTTCCCCTCCCTATTATCTCTTCCCCAAACCAAAGAGTGCTTAAATTCTAGCTTTTTTTTTTTTTTAAATTTTTTTCAAAGTACTAAAAATAACCCCCCTTGGGCCTCCCTTCCCAGGAGAAGC